GCCGGCCATGAAAGCCTTCGACTTCACATGAGGAAGGAATGTCTATCCTGACTCTCAGCAGCTCTCCAGGGTTTTACATAATAATCTTTCCCAACCTCTACCTGGAATTGTTGCCTCCATTGCAAACCAGAGAGAACATTTCCACATTAATAATAAAAATAAAATAATAATAAAATTTATTTATACCCCGCCCCTCTGTCGAACAATCGGAGCAACTTATACAATTAAAATTATAACCCCCCCATTAAGAAAAGTATTAAAACTACACATCCTTTAAAAGATCTTAACGTAAAATATCACAAGATACAATAAAGTAATTGGGAATTCTGTGCATGTAAGCGTGTGTACCATTTGTCTTCTAGGTTTTATAAGATTCAGGAAAATGCTGTATACATAGCACTGTATAATATAACGCTATATACTGTAGTGGGATTGCAGTTTCCCAGATCCCTCAACATTAGCTAGAGCTGATGAGAATTGTAGTCTGGAGGGCCACATTCTCCTCACCTATACTGCCCCGTATATGTAGAGAAATTCATTAAAATTCAGTTTAGCATTTGTTTTACTGTGCCCAGCTTAAAATCAACTTAACCATCTCTACATTTTTCATATCATATGGAATAAGAGGGAAATGGTGCTAAAAATTCCTCCATAATAGTGCAATTGGACAGTAGGTTTTCATTGTTATGCTGATTCTGAAAGCTAACAGTGTCAATTCTGATGATATGACTAAATTTTGTTTTCACTCAGCCAGCAATCTCATCATTTCCTAATGCCAAGCACCTGGGAGATTATTTATATTATTTACTAATAAGTATACTTCTAAAGAAGCTACTAAAATGTACTTTAGAAGAGCTGTTTGACAGTGGGATATGCTGCCCTAGAGAGTGATGGAGTCTCCTTCTTTGGAGATTTTTAAATGGAGGCTAGATGGCCATCTGTCAGGGGTGCTTTGATTGTGTATTGCTGCATGGCAGGGGTTTGGACTGGATGGCCCTTGTGGTATCTTCCAGCTCTATGATTCTATGGTTCGATGATTCTGAAATACTTACTGATAAGTATACTTCTAAAATCTGAAAGAATCAGAGACTCTCGTGTCTATAGTCACTTGCCAGGTAACCATGGCCAAGTCACACTCTCCCAGCCTCAGAAGAAGTTAATGTCAAATCCCCTCTGAACAAATCTTGCCAAGAAAACCCTGTGATAAGATTGTCTTAGGGTTGCCATAAGTTGGAAATGTCAAGAAGGCACTCAACAATGGAAAATTGTTAGACAGAAAGGGTCTGCCCCATGCAGTTTTGTTTTTCTTCTTAGTTCTTAGAAAGTTACACACAGAACTTTGAAAGATCTGTGGTCACTGAACCCAGATTAATGTCTTGACTAGACCTAGGGCAGCTCAAATAGTGAGGAGACAGCTTCTACCCTCATTAGAGGCACACTACCATCACCTTGAAGAATAAGCTGCCAGTAGCTAGACTGTTTAACTTTGACAAGACTGGGATTTCTGTAAGTCTATCTTGTTTGAGAAGACTGTGTATACCAAACTCAGCTCTTCTGCTGGCAGGTAGGACATCAGTGTAATCGATAAACTGGGACACATGTGACCAAGCAATATCAGAGTATGATCAAAATGGTAAACTTATAACTATATTATATGTCAACTAAAATTTAATAATTTCACTCTCTTTACAGTGTAACTATAATTGTTAGTTATTTTAGTTAAGAGAATGTGGTCTCACTAAATGACGAAGGAAGTGATCAACCGGTTCAAGTTGCTGGCTCCTATTAGGCCTTGTTGAAGATGTTGGAGTAACAATGAAATGGAGAGAAAGAGCATGTTTTGTGTTTCGCACCATTAGCATTTTTTGCAGCATTCTGATGTGTTTAAAAAGAAATTTAAAAGAAATTTGTAGATAATTATGAGAAACAGGAAAATAAAGAGTTAGGGTTTTTTTTAAAAAAAAAAGCATAACTATAAAGGCAATTAACTCCTTTTGAGCCTTTGGTCTGTAACTGTAACTAATTACTTTTAAAGTAACTATGAGCTCTGTTTCTAAAACTGTATGTTTAAAGATTGCACACAACCAACCTTTTCCCCAGCCTCCCTCTTCTGCCTGTTTTCTTGGTATTTACATGATTTTTCAAGTCACAGGTTGCATGTGCTTGTACAACATCCAGCATTGCTGGCAGCAGCTTCTTGTTGGAATGTCACTGTGCTTCCTGCAATTTCAGTATTAGATAACAATTAAAGACAGAAGTAACTGGGAAGACTGGCTGACTGAAAAGCTATCACTTTCATCCTGCAAATTGAGGCTTGCTGCAAGAACTGACTTGTCAGATCCTTACAAGTAAAAGGGCAGCCTTGGACTGTACATGCACAAATTAAAAACAAAGGCTCCCCTCCACCCTTTGTTAAAATAACTACAGACTCATGCATGTGGACCTTGTAATAATAATAATAATAATAATAATAATAATAATAATAATAATAATTTTTATTTATATACCGCCCTATGGCGAACCAATCTGGGCGGTGAACAGAGTAAAATGCAATATGCAATGTGTACAATCTAAAACATAGCAATCCCTCCTCCCCCCTTAAAAAACTATTAAATCAGATCAGATTAAAACAGAATA